CTGAAAGCTTTAGAGTGGCCCCCATTTCACGGACAGGCTTATACCCGTGCCACACGGGCAACTCGAATGCCATTCACAACGAATGACATTTGTGTGATCGGCGAATCAGCTCGGAATCTGTTGCGCGTGGAATGTGCCATGCCCGGAGTGTCGCGCGCTGATTGGCCGTCCGCTCAAACGTCATTCGTTGTAAATGGCGTTCGAGTTGCCCGTCTGGCACGTGCACGGCTTGTGATGAAGCCAAGTCTCAGTGAAATGCCGGCTGTCCCTCTGAGGCTTCCAGCCTTTACAGTAGCAAGCACAAACGAATTCCAAGCCCTTCCCCCTTTCCCCAAAAATTATTCTTTCTCATAAAAGTTGGGCATGTCGCACAAATAAGATTCATCTTCAAGTTCACTGAAAACAAAGATGCACTCAAGCTGGTCAGAGGAGAAGAGAACTAAATTCTCCTCATTAGGGGGCACAATGCACTTATGTAGGTACTTCACGCTACCAGTTCCAAAATCTTCAAGAATCAGGCTCTTACAGACTAAACAAATTTCACCAGTCCTTACAGTCTTGTAGATAGCCTGAATTTCAAAATGCGTACCATCTCGCATTTTTACAAATTTTGTGCATGTCTTCTTAGGGAGCGTGTTCTCACGACTGTGGATTTCGAACCCCACTACTCTTGTTCTTAGATGTCTTTCAAGAGTAGGTACCTGGCCAAAATGGCATTCAAGAAGGCTATGCACAGCAGCTGTCAACGACACTTCCTGCGGAACGCCCAGGACACCGTCCTCGGAATCATTCTGAATGTTGAGAAACATGCGAAAGAGTTGGTCAAAGTTAGCTGGGAGATTGGTCATTTCACCAAATCGTGCCAGTGCGTGCTTCACAGCCCACCTTTCAGCAACCTGAAGAGGAACGCCTTTAGCAGCGGTTACAAGGCGCAGAAGTGTCCCATTTGCACTTTCGAATGGGAACATGGATGAAGCCCACAGAGGGCCAAGCTGCATAACAGTTTTGGGCAAATGCATAAGTAGACGTATGTTAGAGGTTTCTGCACCTTGACCATAAAGGGCAGACACTTGTTGGAGGAAACGTGCCAAAAGCCCTTCAGCAGCTTGGATGTCATCCCTGTGGACGCTTTTCTGTGACAGCAGAAACACTGCCTGACACAAATGTGTGAAGTGTGCAAGGTAGTGGAGTGGAAGTATGCTATGAAGGCAAGGCATAGCGTAATACACCATCCCGCACCTCCACTCTTTGGCCTTCCATAGATCTCTTTCTCTAACCCATCGTGTGGCCCTAGCGAAAAGATTTGGGGGACGGATCATTGCCAGTCTACGGTCTACAGCAGCCATCTGGTTTCCGATGTAAAAAGGTGCGCCTGTGCTTGTAAATCACAACTCTGTCAGTTGTTTCGTAACATCTTCAAGTAAACAATGCATGTAATCGGGCACTATGCCCCAAACCAAATCAAAACCTTGAAGTCTTGCAATGGGGCTCGGTCCGTACATGCCGTGCTTCGTGGTGCCTGTCATCACAGCCGCTTTCACGTCCTGGAGCACACCTCTGCGCGTCCTTTCCGTCACACTGGAACTGTGGGGGTACTTCAGAGTGCCTAGAAAGAAGAAAGATGCAAATGTTGTGAGACAATGAATGATTACACACTATCACAACCAGTACTCGATGACAATCTGAGATTATAGGGCCATTTTTGATTCATCGTCATTCCCTTCGTTTTTGTTATGCTGGGCGGCTTCGATGCTTCGCGGGAGGTGTCACTCAATAGCAGAGCCGTGGTCGCAGTCTCGTGGAAAGTGATATTCTGCCTCGTTAGATAGATCTGCCGTCCTATTTTGCATTAAGCACAAATAAACACCATGCAGACTACCTCTGCATTATGTCGTACATAACTTCACTTTTTTTTTGGTTTCTGTAATTGGGCATGAAGGTGGTAAAAACACCAACACGGATGAATATAGAGCAACCATTTTGGGAGCTAGGCCCCTGAAATGATGACAATCATCCCAGAAAGATTAAAATGTAACCCTTGTTTCCAGCAAGATGGCAAATCAATGGGAATTTTAGCAGTAGAGCTAAAACGACTTGCTTTGACATGTGCGTTTGCGGCATTACTGGACGATGCTCTTACAGCTCGTCCCATGGCTGAGTTCCACGACAGAACGACCCAAGCCAAGTTGCTAAACAAAAGAAAGCTAATTCCCCTTTCAGACGGCACGTTAAATGACATTTAGGCAAAATGACATATTACAGCTAGGCCAATCCGCATCTTTAATATGGCACGCTGCGCATGCACACGCGACATGCAGGACCAGGATCACAAGGTGATTTAACAAGCGGTGAAATGACATTCAATTAAAATGACATTTATTTCCCCATCTCACTGAGATATAGACGCTTTCAGGCAGCTGTGCATGAGCGCCGCCATAACCAACCTTCAGTTTTTGTTCCCTCTTATTCCGTTCGCTCCACTTCATCATTGCTGCAGCAGGAGAGGTTATTGCCATTTTAGACGTAACTGTGTCCTTCTCCGTAGAATACGCCTTTGTGGAGGCTCGTCAAGGCCCGCCTCAGTGGCTCGGCATCTCGGTAAGACAAGAAAAGGTCGGCTATGGCGGTTCAATCCGGCGCGTGCTGAAAGCGTCTATAAAAAAAGCAGCTTTGAAAAGCTCAAGAACACTGTTATGGTACATTGTCACAATTAAGCCTTGCTCCAATGCTCCAATTAGTTTGATTCAGGTCCATAGCTTTCGCTGTTTGCCAAGTTCAACAATTCACCGACTTTGACCTCATACCGAGCATCAACAGATTAGAGGTACGCCGGAGCAACGAGCAACATCCATTTAATTTGAAACTACTGTAATTATTTTGCCAGTGATATAAAGCTTTCTGAGCTGGGCAGCACTATATATTGTCTCGCAGCAGATTTAAACTGAACTATGGTGTCCGGAGATAACGGTCTATGATTTGAAGGACAAGGAACAATTGCTGTGAATATTATACTCACCATCAACCAGAGTTCCCTTGTGGTAGCACCACGGACAGCCGTAGTAGCCATTGAATTGCTTGCGGTTTAGCACTGCTGCTCTGGCAGGAGCATCCGCGATGCAACACACCGCATAGACTTTGGATTCAAGAGCCCGTCCGTTCTTGTGGCAAACCCATTTGATTGCGCCGATTCTGCGAAATTGTTCCACTAACCCGTCAAGAAAGAGTGACATGTCTGGCTTTTTCTTACCAAGCCAGATTCCACCAAGCAAGAGGATTTTCCACCGGAGGATAGGGGGCAATTCATTGAGCATTACATGAATGGGCCACATGGAATTTTTGCTGGACTTGAATACTGGAGATCCGTCAGTACTGAAACTAGCAGTGAGATCTTCCATTGCGCAGCCAAACTGTTGTCGTGCTTGGTTCACAAGGTCTCCGTCAGCCAGGTCAGTGAAAATGTCCCGTGATCTCTGGCGATCTTTTCGAGGTTGTCCCACAGAGCCTTCCTGCAGTTCTTAACCAGGTCATGACATTGTTTGCGCAAGTTGAAATTGATAAAAAATGTGCCGTTTGATACCATTTCTTCTGCTCCATACAAGGTTTTACACTATGAGCACCTCGCCTTCTTGTCTTGAAGGGGCGTCTGGCAAACCATGAGCGGTTTTGAGCACCTGTCGCAAAAAAAATGAAAATCCACCATGCCTTGCTGACTTTGCTTCCACACCTTCCGGAATAGAAACTTTGACTTTGGAGCCACGAAAACGCCGAACAGAGTGTTTACGAGCCTCAACAGGCCCTCAGTCTGCGTCCATGAGAGGCCGGCGGACACAACGTATGCCAAAATCAGCAACAGAACGTGCCCTCGGGTCGAGTCTTGGCCAGGAATAGGGGGCCCACTACACAGCTCTTCAAACATTTTGAAGTCAGACTCATCTTCGCCGCTGGTAGTCAAGTCGGGATCCCCTTGCTCAGATTCGCCACCGCCACTCGACGCCGTTTCGCCAGTTTCGCTGCTTCCACTCGTGTCACCTGATGCCAGCCTATCTTCGCTGGTGCATGAGTCGTGAAAAAGCGCTTCATGTTCGCTCGGGTCGTCGGATTCATTGTCGCCATCAGAAGTGGCTTGGTCATCGCTGGTGACGCCCGACGTGATTTCATCCTCGTTGGAGTCGGAGCTCTGGTTAGAGTCGTCGAGCTCGTAGCACCGGCTCGAATTATCTCCGTCCCCTGACGTTTGTGAAAGGTTGATGAGCTCTGCTGCACGCTTGGCCCTCGCCGCTCGGTTCGATTTTGTTTGCTTAGGTATCACATAAGCCTGATCCGGCCCCATGTATACCTTCCTTCTTTTCTTCGCTCTTGGCGGCATCGCGCTGAACGTTACTATAACAAGTCGCGCTTAATGACTTCGCTAGCGGTAACAGTAGCGACAGCCGATACCCGAAACGAATAAAGGAAGAAGAAGACCAGGGAAGACAGCGGAAGGTTTCGTTTTCTCTAGACTAAACCGGATGCTGAACTTCGGCCAGTCTCTTTGCCGAATCTGATTGTATAGTCATTTCCGGAAACCGAAACCAGGCGTCTGCCGACGCGCAATTTCGCTCACAATAAATGGTGGAAAGGCTGGAAAATAAATGAAGCTAGTTCTTGTATGGAAGCGACAATTAAACATTAATAACAGTCCAAGACGTCTTTTCTTATCAACCTGGTCTTTTTCTCTTTTTTTCTCTTGGTTTCGGTTTCCAGTTTATTATGCAACACCAAGTCATTAATACACTGGTCGCGATCCTGTCGGTAATATAACATCATTAATACTCATTTGATTAGGAAATAGGTATTGATAAAAGTAAAAAAAACAAAAAAAACGTCACTTTACAATATTTTTTTAGTTTAAGTATTTGCAGACAACTAGCGCCCCCTGCCAAAATCAAGAAAATACTTATGCAAGAACTAGCCTTACTGAAGCAGGTAAGGGGTCAGGGCATCGCACGAATACTAAAGCTATGTGTAAACTGTTCGCGTTGGTGCCCTGTGAGATCGACAACACGACAGCGGTTGTCTCCGCACGAAATATAAAAGACTTCTGCCCCGTAACCTGCGAGGATATGAATCCAGACTTGTTGTATGACGTGTTCTGGAGCGGCAGCATGACAACGAAGGGCGGCTACTACCACGCGCAGATTGTCAACATGGCAGGTATGTGGAAGGATTTCCCCGACTCCTCTTTTTACAAGTAGCTAATTGATTGGGGTGCACATCAAAACCAAATATACCTTGATTCACCGATTGCATAATCCGAAGAAGAACTGCGTGATGTAGCGAAACGAACACGGAAAAGGCCGCTCTCTAGCGCAATGCCAGCAGACTTCTCCGAGGCGCGCAGAAAGCTTCGTTCAATAATGGTAAGTTTTTTTTGTTTTTTTTTATTATTGTTTTACATTGCAGTTTAAACGTTCGGGAAATTATTCAGAAGAAAATAGGATTAATACAATACAGTAAACTTTTGTTAGCTCGACCTCAGCCATTTTGAGTTTTCATTTAGTTTGATCAATATTCAACGGTCTCGGTGAGCGCCCGTACATTTCTATGGGGAAAAAGAGCTTCTTAGTTCGAACATGCAAGGGCACCGCATCGCATAATTAGACTCCAGCGAATGCATGCCGGCGTAGTTGCACAGTATCAATGCAGGAAATGAAGTACGGCTCCACGGCTGCACGCCACCAGACCGAGTGGGCTGAACTGTGTTCTTAAAATTATATCAAGTTGACTCCCATCTTATGTACTGAGAGTAGCATCAAAAGCTATGACAGTCGTGAAACACTGACAACACAGCCTTTTTTTTTTTTTATTGTGACCGTGTTTGTTGCAGCTGCTTTTCCTGCTTCAATTTCCACTGTTCTTTGAGTAAAACATGAGAAGTCGGCGGCTGTTCGCCATCGTCTTTCACACACTTTAGCAGCCCGTAACCGGACTTCTTTAAATATAGTGCCCGGGACGCGCCTCGGACGTGTGTTTACTCCTATACCCCCGTGTTTATAGCCAGAGTGTCGAACCGAAATTTTTATCGGTTCGGTTCCGGTTCGGGTTCACGGCTTTCGGTTCGGTTCCGGTTCAGTTCCGGGGAGCAAAAAATAACGGTTAAAACCGGTTCAAACCGGTTCGAACCGGTTTGAACCTCTAAATTGAGAACATAGTTTTGCGTTGTTATTGCAATCGACATTATTTACGCCGTGAAACGAATAACTATATAAATTCTTCTATCGTCCGTGCAATTAACTTTTGTTTTCAGGTACCAAAGATATGAGATTCAAGTTATTTAATTTCGACGCAAGAGTAGAAGAAAGTCTACATCAACGTACATAACGTCGTGTTCATACGACTCAACATCGCTTTGTTTATCAGTCACATCTATTTTACCTGAATCCAAATGTGTAAGTACAACAGTAAAGAGTTGAGCTTGTTTGTACATATATTTATGCGACATACCACACTTCGCGACAACATTTTAGACCGTGTAAAAAGATCAGCTTGAACTTAAGAATTTTACTTAAGCACGAAGAAAGGACAGGAAATGACAAAATAATTCTAAATTTCAAGCTGATCTAAGTACAAGTATAATTGCGAATAGATCAGCTTGAAATTTAGAACTATAGTTTCATTTCCTGTCCTTTGTTCGTGTATAAAGGCACCATGAAGGCAAAGCCTGACGATTGTTAGGCACGTCTCAGATACTGTTGACCAAGTTCTAGCCCGAACAGAAGTTTGGGTGCCGCACCAATCGAGCAAACAGGCGCGGTAATAACAACGCCGGGAACGATGCCTGAGACCCCACCGAGGCGGCGGCAGAAAGGTGAACTAAAGTGCGGCGAAGCGTGACGACAACGGGCTCCTCGTCTGGCGATTGGTTCAAACGATAGACGCGCTCTTGCCAAGGTGGAGTGGTGTAGTGGTTAGCACACCCGACCGGACATTGGGAGGCCCAGAGTTCAAATCCTGGCTCCGCCAATTTTTGGCTTTCGGCGGGTTCCTGGAAACTTTGATTCTTTGATTCATTGGATTAAGTACGGTTCATTCATCTGCACATATTCGTTCATATGCTCCTCGGAGACCACGTACGATGGTGTGAAGTGCCCGTGTTGTGTACTCAATAACGTGGCTCTTGATTCTCGCAGATGATGATGATACCGTGTCTCTAAAAGCTCATAAACAAAAAATACCACATGTACAGGGGGCGAAACAAACAGTGGGAGGATTTCTGGAGCACAAACGAGCACGTATCACGTGACACTAAGCGTCGTACCGCGTTCCACGCGGCGGCTTGTGTTTCCAGAACACCTCCGATTGGATACATTTCGTTTCTTGTGCATTAATAAGACAGGTAGGAAACGCCAGAAAGCCAAGGTGGAGTGGTGTAGTGGTTAGCACACCCGACCGGACATTGGGAGGCCCAGAGTTCAAATCCTGGCTCCGCCAATTTTTGGCTTTCGGCGGGTTCCTGGAAACTTTGATTCTTTGATTCATTGGATTAAGTACGGTTCATTCATCTGCACATATTCGTTCATATCCTCCTCGGAGACCACGTACGATGGTGTGAAGTGCCCGTGTTGTGTACTCAATAACGTGGCTCTTGATTCTCGCAGATGATGATGATACCGTGTCTCTAAAAGCTCATAAACAAAAAATACCACATGTACAGGGGGCGAAACAAACAGTGGGAGGATTTCTGGAGCACAAAGGAGCACGTATCACGTGACACTAAGCGTCGTACCGCGTTCCACGCGGCGGCTTGTGTTTCCAGAACACCTCCGATTGGATACATTTCGTTTCTTGCGCATTAATAAGACAGGTAGGAAACGCCAGAAAGCCAAGGCGGAGTGGTGTAGTGGTTAGCACACCCGACCGGACATTGGGAGGCACAGAGTTCAAATCCTGGCTCCGCCAATTTTTGGCTTTCGGCGGATTCCTGGAAACTTTGATTCTTTGATTCATTGGATTAAGTACGGTTCATTCATCTGCACATATTCGTTCATATCCTCCTCGGAGACCACGTACGATGGTGTGAAGTGCCCGTGTTGTGTACTCAATAACGTGGCTCTTGATTCTCGCAGATGATGATGATACCGTGTCTCTAAAAGCTCATAAACAAAAAATACCACATGTACAGTTGGCGAAACAAACAGTGGGAGGATTTCTGGAGCACAAACGAGCACGTATCACGTGACACTAAGCGTCGTACCGCGTTCCACGCGGCGGCGTGTGTTTCCAGAACACCTCCGATTGGATACATTTCGTTTCTTGTGCATTAATAAGACAGGTAGGAAACGCCAGAAAGCCAAGGTGGAGTGGTGTAGTGGTTAGCACACCCAACCGGACATTGGGAGGCACAGAGTTCAAATCCTGGCTCCGGCAATTTTTGGCTTTCGGCGGGTTCCTGGAAACTTTGATTCTTTGATTCATTGGATTAAGTACGGTTCATTCATCTGCACATATTCGTTCATATATATATATATATATATATATATATATATATATCTGACTCGCAACCAAAAGGGGTCGTGGGGTCGTGAATTCGAATCCCACGTTAATTTTAACTTAATACTTCTACGTGGGATTCGAATTCACGACCCCACGACCACTTTGGTTGCGAGTCAGACACGCTCCTGACTAGGCCACGCGAGGCACGCTTGCGCGGCAAATGAGAAGGCGATGCGAACGAGGCGCTTTCCACTTTTAAAAACGAAGCTTAAGCGTTCTCTAAGATTCTTTTTTGTTAGGTAAAACGAAGTAGTATTTCATGTTCTACTCGACATGACAGCTACTTAATTGGACACTTTCTGACGGTTCCCGTGCGTAATAGTCATAGTTTCGCCGCGCGTTCCTGTTTACTTTGTTTTTGTCTAGCCCACAGACACATAAAAGTAATGTTCACCACATAAAATAGGCAATAACAGACTTCTATATGTTTGAAAAGTTATATGTGTGAGTAACAGATAGTTATTTAAATTAGCTTCAAAATCATAAATATGTATATGGCTGTCCGAGATCACTTATAATGTGTCTGTCGAGGATAAAAACGCCGGAAACGATTGTCAGAACACATATAAGATAATCTGGTGGAGGGGGGGGGGGGGGGCATTGCTTTTGGGTGGTCGGCCCTTTATTTATGTTGTCAAATATTCTGTTAGTAATGAAATACATTTTTATGATCAATAAATTTTACTTTATAACCGCTTGAGACCGATTCGGAAGCACGATACTCGAAACTACGCGAGCTGTTAAGACTGCGTATACGTGTTTTTTGTTCGCTGATTGGCAGTGTGAAACGTCAGACTCCAGGGTACACCAAAAAGGACTCTGTGTTTACATGACAGATCTGAAGGCAAATACTCGAAACATTAAAAAAAAGATAATTAATGGTATTTTTCTAAATAATTCTTTACAGAACGCCTTACTACAAACGGAGATGCATAAAGTAGTGTGCAATGAAATTCCTAATTTTAAATAAATAGCGCGGAGGACAGACAAAGATTCTTAAAATCTTAATATAAATAACATTTCATCAGCTTGCATGAGCTCGAAACTTCGTGAAATACTGCCTCAGGAGGCTAATGTTATATTCGGTTTTACCTGCGCTTGTTTCGGGCCCTTAGTTTACAATATCATGCTTCAATAGTCATGCGCTCTAATATTTCTCTAGGTTACCGTTTTTCACCGCGAGACTGCTATAAATACATTACAACTTTACAATTAGGATATCTATTGCTAGTGTTGCGAACATCGCATTTTACCAGAAAGCTGAACTGCTAAACGTGGTATGCACATGACGTCATCACACTATATGCTGGTGGTCATTGTGATTTCTTCTCGCTGAGAAAACCAAATTCAAAGGTGAAAAATGTACGCTGCAGGAGGTTCAAGCTCGGTAAAAGTCAAGTACTTGAAAGGCACGTATTATTATTTTTGGTGCATCGTCGTGAGGAACAGCGCGAGCGTCTGGCACGACAAAAACGTGCTTTTTGGCAAGAGCGTTTTTGCACAAAAAGTAGTTTCCGGGGCCACGCTTTTTAGTCTGCGCCGAAAATACGGGGAAGACGAACCTTTTCATCACAGTACGTTTTTAAAATGAACCCTCCCCCCCCCCCCCCCCCACACACACACACACAAACACACACAGTTCTTTTTCTTTCTCCGTTGCTCCTCCAAAGAATATTTTGTATTCCTGAGGAATTGCCTCCTCCGTTTGGGTGTGTTAATTCGAAAATTATATTTGTCGCTTGTTAGCAGTAACCGTCCATTGCTTTTTTTTTAGAACGTGAAGTTTAAAGGGGGTCATAAAACGATATCAAGTTGAAATGTTCATAACTTTTCAGAGGCGTACTGGTCCCATACTGGACAAAGTATAGTCGCACAGACTGCCACTGATACAGAAGCTTCTTTGTCGCGGTGAAATTGCGAGGATAAGATTATACATTTCTTTTAGTCTTGCCTTCGCAAAGATTGATGACGATTCTGGGATCAAACCCACCCGCCTGACGACAGTCGCGCGCGGCTCATGGACTGGACACGAGAACTGCGTGAGCACCGTACATCGGCTCGTAACAATCAATGCCTCGGCGGACACTTGGCTCGTGGCTCGTCTCCAATCCCTGCGGTGATGAGAGTAGTCGAACTCTAAAAATGCCTCGAACTCCCCAGCACGCGTTTTCTTCCGTTCCAACCCCAGCGCGGGGGTATGATTAACGTTGGCGGCATAGGATGGGCACCAAGTCACGTGGCCGCATCTGGCTCCGAGACGAAGGGATGAATGATGCTCATATTTCTCGAATTTTTTTGGCGACAGTCATTCCCTAGAAAGAAGAACTAAAGCAAGTTTATTCAGTTATTAACGTTAGGGAGTGATTCCAAGTAGTATCTATTGAATGTATAGGAATCTTTTTTATGGTTCCTCTAAGCAAAATGAAAAGGTGGTCAAAACTTGGGCAATAACTTGAGAACGAAGTTCGTGTGAGACTTAGAGCGGATGGCAACGTTCGGCTGTCCCCCTCTAAGACCACTGTACTTCGTTTCAGCTGACGTCCGAGCGCGGCCGATGTTATGAGCCGAAGGGCCAATCATACAGCGCGAAAAGCGCAGAGTCATGGTGTGCTCTCCTCGCTTTATACAACTAGCCGGCGGACGAGCACGCACAGAGAAACTGCGAATACCGGCTGGCCCTATCAACTGCAGAAAGCACGCCATGACGTTGCGCCTCTTTCGCTGTTTGATTGGCCCTTCGGCTCATAACATCGGCCGCGCTCGGACCGAAGCTGAAACGAAGTATAGGATATTTTTTTTTTTTCAGGTATCTTTTCTGTACACACATGTAGTTTTATGGAACGTCCTAAATAATAAGTCGCATTTAATACTTTTAACACTTTCATTCTCGGGGACATCTTTCGGATGCAGTTCAGCAACAACTAAAAAACGTTTGGGTGCCTCAATGATGCAAAATTGGTCGTGCAACATTTTTTTTTGTACTTTCAGTAACCAGTGTTAAGACGTAATCCCTGATGATTATAGCTACTGAAGGCACTCATTAGATTTCCTCTCCGCGTTATGGCAGATGCAGAAAAAATACAGAAAAGAGACAGTTGTCGATCCCCTCCTCAACTCGCAATTCGAACAAGTGGCCACGTGATCTGACGCTTCGTAGTCGCGAGCTAGGGTTTGGAAAGCCAAAGCTTGGGCTGAGCTTCAGATATTGTTAGAGTTGGGCTATTATCATATTTAATTAAACGCGAGTAGTTACCCGAATGTCTGACAATACTGATTATCATGAACCCGAGCACTCGACTCGGGGTTATGAAAACCACGTACATCACGGTGTCACGTAACTCTGGGTGCAAAATCGCGATGTCATGTTACGTCACGCTGTCAACAAGGTTAATACATCTAATGACTTCCTCAAATTAAATCGATTGGACGCAGTGAGTCACGTGACGTCACGGGGTCACGTGACATTACTTGACATCATGTATTGACACCATGACGTCACGTGACAACGTGACAAATAGTTATTAATAGTTCCAATACAAAAGCGCCATGAAAACCCACAATTTATCATACATTTAAATTCTGTGTAAGACAATTTTATTAATAGATAGACATACAGCTGCCATTTTTTTATTCCTATCTATTCATTTTGTGATAATAACCAAAAAATTGCCTTGAACCGTTTTGAACCGGTTACCGTTATATTTTTTTACGGTTCGGTTCCGGTTCAGTTCCAAAATGGCGGCGACGATTTCGGTTCGGTTCAGTTCCGGTTCGGCTAAAAATAACGGTTCGGTTCCGGTTTTCGGTTCGGTTCGGTTCCGGTTCGACACCCTGTTTATAGCGGTCCCGAAGTGGTAACGAAGGGGCTGCTGTGTTAAATCTTTATGAGTTTCTGTACAAAAACGTGTGGGCAGCCAGAATACCGCATTCACAGCCATAGCTGTGCTCTCCTTCACAGCATTGAAATTTACTCCTCGCATGATTGATTTGCCAGTGTGCGAGAATTGGCGCAGCTGAAGTCGTAGTACATGAAGCTCGCACATGTAGCTTAAAAAAATTGTCTCGTCCTAGTCTCTGGGTTTTTTGTCAGATAATGTTAAACAGCACCAGCTCCTGTTTGCACTAACTTTTTGTTCAAGGTATTTCTGTAACTTGCAGTTTTGTTTTGTATCTGTGACCTTCCTAGCACAACAGCAATAGAGGCTCCTTATCCCTCAATGTGGTATTTCTTATGGTAAATTTCGCCCGTAAATTTTAAGCGCTTTTAGACCTCTAATTTTTCTGTTCGTGCAAGTGCGAGCTACCATGTACTACTTTAAAGCCGTGAGCATGAAGCTTTCCGGGTTACTTCGAATCTAGAAACGGAAGTTACCATTGAAAACATTCTCTAATATCTTTCTCGGCACAGAAAAAAAAGAAAGCGACAAATGACAAAGATGTCAACAAGCGCCAAAGAGATTTGGATCCGCTCCAAAAGATAGAGCTTGAGAACCATGACCTCGTGCCCCGCAAAAAGTACATGGAGGTACTACGCAAGCTGCACGAAAAAACAAAAGCTCTGGAGCAGTGCCAGAAACTAAATGAGCAGCTCCAGGAGGCACTCTGCACAAACATAAAGAAAGCAGGTAAGTTATTGCATCTAGTTCATTCGCAAATAAATAATCATTTTGAGTTCCAAGCCCCAGGCATCATGTTTTTCAAAGCATTTTTTGTATTTACTGCCATGAAAGGTTATAATATAATTTTTCATGTTTCAACTACTTACATTCTCTTCAATGCTGTTTTCCTACAATGGTTTCTCTAGATTGCTTCCAGTGCCAGAAGAGTGGAGCAGAGGAGAATGCTCCTCTCTATTATGTGGACTTTGAAGGGCAGGGGGAGGCCAACAAACCAGGACTAGACACCGCCTGGTCAAGCCTAAGTGCAATGACGGTCGAGTGCAATATAAGAAAGGTAATTTGGGAAATTTACGTACCAAACCATTAAATTTGCAGCCAAAATTGCTGCGCTGATTCCTGTCAAAATGTGCAGCAATTTACAGTGTCTTCTATTCCGTTATTGTTTCTCCGTAACTGATGTAAAACTAATATAAAATTCTATGTCTAATTATGATGTTTGTGGTTATGTGACTTTGTGTCCTGTAATCACAGATTAGTCCTCATATTAGGACTAATCTTACATGATCACGTGACTCAGTGCTTATTGTGCGTGAGCGCGGGACACGTTCTCACATAAGATTAGGCCCAACGTTTGGCTAAATACCTAAGATTAAATGATCATATAATCATCTGTGTCACATAATCACGTGAGTTTAGATCATGTGATTTAGTGTTAGGTGATCAGATTATGTGAGTGGCTCTCTGTTAACGCTCTTACTTGACACTCGCCTGCTTGCCTCTACGGCGAGCAGACGACGCTTGCACAGCACGAGGAAGGCGCAGAAAATGCTTGAATTTTTTTCAGATTCCTGTGCTACCCGTTAATTAGCTTTCCCTTTCTGATAGACCAACACGCGGCTCTGACGTCATGCCTCTGTGGTGGTGCTGTTGTCGCCACGGCGCATGCGCCGGAGCTTCAGCTCGCTCGAATCCGGTTTCTGCGCTTGCGCAGTGCCCACACCCGGTGCGGGTAGATGCAGGCTTGTTTGTAAACAGGATGTCTGTCTATATTTTATTTTCTCAAGAGCCTGTGCGGACGTTTAATGTCAAAAGACGCCTTTTGGTGCCTTTTGCTAATTAGTGGTTTCAGACAGAACCCACAGCGACCCGGCGACCGACGCGCAAAGTGAAAAGGGTTAGCTCAGAAATGCTTTGCATTTAAAAAGCATGCAGCATGCCACACTAAAGGACCAGTAATTGCTTTAGACTGCCTTGAGATCTTTTGGTATGTAACCGAAATCTTAGCTACACTTGAATTCTCCACATTAAGCCTTAGTCATATTGCGCTCACTTTGGACGGGATCCGAACCAGCTAACTAGGGATGTGTATTCAGCGCTTTTGCCTCGGAGCAACGTATATGGCTAGTTGTAGTTCGGAGACCAGCATCAAATGAGTTGTCAAGCCCAAATGCTTTGTGTTTCAAATCCCCAGGTGAATGCATCATACGACAGTGCTTCCCAGGCTGCTGTGTCCCAGCCAGCAGCTCCTCTACCAGCACGGGAAAGTGGCGAAGCCGAACTTGGTGCGGTGATGGTAAGATGCTTTTAGATGCTTTTCAGTTAATGTTACATAGCAATCTATAAACGATCGGAGAAATAATTGATCAGAAAGTAGGATTCATACAGTAGAGAAAAATTTTGTTAATTCATCCGTAGCTATTTCGAGTTTTCATTTAATTTGATCAGTTGTCAGCATTCTCAATGAGCGCGCTTACATTTCTTTGGAAGGAAGGAAGCTCTTTAGATTGAACGTGCAAGGGCACCGCATCGCATAATTAGACCCGAGCGAATGCATGCATGTGTAATTACAGTTATAAATCAGGAAAGAAAAAAAGAGATCTCGGTTCCGCGACTGCGCACCACAAAGCCGAATGGGCTTAACTGTGTTCTTCAAATTCCATTATAAAAAGTTGACTCCCATCATATGAACTGAGAAAAGGAGAAAGCTACGACAGTCATGAAACAATGGCAACACCACCCTCATTTTTTTATTATATCCGTGGTTGTTGCAGCTGCTTTTGCTGCTTCAATTTCCACTGTTCTTCAAGTCGGAAATGAGATGTCGGCTGCTGTTCACCATCCTCTTTCACGCAATTTAGCGGCCCATGATCGGATGTCTTTAAATGTGGTGCCTGGAACGCGTCTCAGACGTGTGTTTACTTATCCTTCACGTGCTTAATGTGGTAACAAAGGGGCTGCCGTGTTATGTCTTTCTGAGTTCTTGTACATAGCTACCGTAGGCAGCCAGAGTGGGTCTCCTCCAGAGTATTGAACTTTACACCTCGCATGATTGCTTTGCCGGTAGTTGCTTGGGCTCCTTGAGAATTCACATATCTGAGGTCATAGTACATGAGGCTCGCACATGTAACTTAAAAAAAAGAAAACCTTTATAGCTATAGGGGAGGCTTTTCTGCATAGCACTGAAGCTTTGAATGCTAACGTGCTCAATTTCGGCCAGTATGGCATGGCGGCACATAAAAGTACTTCGGAAAATAAACAAGCAACTCTGCTACCTACGGTACAACCTTAATCGTTTTGCTTGTCACGGTCTTGGTGGTCGGAAATGGAAGTGCAGTCAGAGAAATTGAGTGTACACAAGCGTTGCTGCCTTCACAGTTACTGGATGTTGCAAACCATCACTTCGTACATTGTCGTTCACGGGACACATGCGGCGCTATATACAGTTTGGCAGGCGTGTCGTTTCCCCCTACACGATTGTGCCATAATAAGTATCGCAACCAGCAATAAAATGATGTAGTTTTGACATCACAAGGCAGAAATCGGGGGACCAAAAATTAGGATGTGGTAGACAGACCAGTCGGACACGCATGTTTTGGGCATACCGTAGACATTAAAGGGCAACTCCGGCCAAAACTCAAAATGAAATAAATTACCGGTATCGCTGTAGTGACAAAAAATACGACCCCAGCCAAAATATTACATCCGTGGGACGCCGCATTCTCAACTAATGCCGATAATAAAAATGCGACCCGCCGCCAGCCGCTGCTCCTTAGCGGGCGGCCAGCGGGTTGCCGATCGCTAAAGCAACATTGGGCCGTGACGTCAGTATCGTTCTCTTTTTTTTCCTCCGGTCCGGGCGTTGCGCGGAACGCGCTTCTTTGAGCCGCTACCACCGCTTCTTCGGCTTATGATTGGCGTGTTTAGCCGTTGCTTTTATCTGTAGCCCGTGTAGCTTTTGTTTATTTGCTTGTGAGGACTCCAAGACTCGTTTTAGCGAGCAACTCGGAGTGCCCAAGACTGCCCAGCTGTTCCTCGAAAGATGCCGAGTGCAACTTGTAGCGCTGTGGGCTGCTCAAACAACCCGCTGCGCAACACGGGGGTGCTTTTTCACAAGTTTCCAACGGACCGGAAACTGCAGAAGGTGTGGGTGAACGCTTTTCGACGAGTGGACTTTGGACTTCGGCTTTTATGCGCCCGAGGAAAAAAGAACAAAGAAACAGACGTGTACAGCCCAGCACACGTATGTTCGGGCGCCGCGGCCCGCGCCGGAGAGCCTCAAAGCTTCGCGTCTGGAACTGACCCGCAGCGCAAAAGCGGGGGGGCCCCCAGTACTGTGCATCACTGGCAGCGCGGCTCCGTGGATGGAGCAACGCCGCACCATCCACGGAGCCCCGATGACAATTTAGGCCTAGCGACGAGTACGGAAGACCGCACACACGGCCACAGCCTCTGACTGCGGCAGCGGACGAGTTCACTCGTTTTCCAGTCGCTAGCTTTTCGGTATACAAGCGACGAATACGGCATAGCGCACGCACGGCGGTGGCCGCCGAGTACGGCACCGTACGGGTTCACGTGTTTTCCAGTCGCTAGCTTTTAGGTATATGCACTAACTCTTGCTGCATATGCTGGATGACTACCACGTATACAGAATTAAAACGACATCAGCTTACCTAATATCTTAAGACGACTAGCGCAACAGAGGTAGGTGCCATTCGGACTTCGCACTAGTTGAACGAGAACGATCCTGATCTCACGTTCACATAGCGGCTGATTTCCAGTGTTGCCGGAACCTCGAGCGGCTAGTTTCAGTTTTGTTGGCCGCGCCCCAAATAAAACTTCAAGGCTTCGATACCTTTAAAACTATGCACAATAACGAGAAAAAAATTAAACCTTGCAATTCAGGGACGCCCTGACTGCACTTAAAACAGTCATAATCCCAAAATCGAAGGTATGAACCGGAGTTGCCCTTTAAAGTGAATTGGATTGGGCTCTTTTTTTCGTTTTTCGTTTCTTTCATTTGAGTCGTCCGGGTAATTCAAACAAAAAGTTTACCGCAGTGTAATGATTCTAATTTTACTGTATGAGTAAAGCACTGATTGTTACTAAAATAAAAGTCCAAGGATATGATCAGAAGTAGCCATCGAGCAGGCATTCCAAAATATGAATCTTTTGTGTCTAATAGGATCATTTTCGTAGGATCACATATCCTGTTGGTATACGTAAACTTCAATTGTATTCCGAGCCCCACTGTCAGGATTGAAACCCGCCAAAAGGCAGGTTTGTAAGTCCTAGCAGAGCTAGCTTTGAGTGGGGCACGAGCATCAAATGAGTTGTCAAGCCCAACTGGCCTGTGTTTCCAATCGGCAGGTGAATGCATCCCAGGCTCCTGCGTCCCAACCAAACCGTCCACCAGCACCAACAAGTGGGGAAGGCGAGCCGCGTGCTATGATCGTAAATTTCTTTTCAGCTAACGTTGTACTGCATACTATTGGAGAAATCATTGAGAAGAAAATAAGATTCACACAGTATGTTAAAGCACTATTTAGTACTCACTTGAAGGTCCAAGGATGTAATGAGATTAGTCATCGAGCAGACATTCTAAAATACGCGATCTTTTGTGCCTAATGGGATCGTTTTTATAGAATCGTGTAGCTTGTTGGTGTAGACCAGGGGTGGCCAGGCTGACTCGGCCTAAGAGCCACAAACGAAACCACAAAATTTCCAAGGGCCGCGGGGGGGCTTTTGTTTAAAGCATTAAACGAAGCTCGAACTACGTACAACCCACCCGAGTCAAAAGCAGTCCAACTGTACGTAAGGCAGCAGTAGCACAAGACTACCAAGCCTCAACCTGTCTTTCGTTGAAAAACGCGTTCAATTTCTCTATTTGGGGAAGTGCTCGTGTGACTGGGAAGGTGGCGGAGTGGGGGGGGGGGGGGGGGGGTTTGTAGGGGAGGGAGCCGCGAGCCGCACTATAGCACGCGAAGAGCCGCAGCTTGGCCACTCCTGGTATAAACCGTTTTATCGTGAGTAGTGCCGTTTTGAGAGCGAGAGAGAAAAAGGGAAAGGGCTGCTGGCGCTTTCCTCCTCTCTGGGTGTGTAGAAAGAGTGAGAGTCCCGGCTGAGAAGCTTGGCCGGTGCTGGGTGTCTGCATTGCCGCAACTTTGTTCGGGCTTCTTTGTTTTAACTAAAGTGGCGAAGCGGGCGAGTTGGTTCATGACTTGTAAAATTTAAAAGCGCTAACAAAGACGAGGACGAACAAGACCTTTCTTTTTCGTCCTCGTCTTTGTTAGCGCTTTTAAATTTTATAACTTAATTAGTCACGGGCTTCAATGGCGACAAACCCCCGGTCATCGGGACACCATTGCTCGGTGGTAGAGTGTGCGAATAACGACAGAAAGCGTCGAATGCTGTCCGAGGACCTATGCAGCTTGCATGGAATCTGGCAGGGCGAGATCGGCTGCAATGTGTTTAAGCTCCATCGCTTTCCGCATGAGTGGAACTGATGAACCGTTTATCAATTTTTTCTCGCAATGTACCTATTTCAACGTAGCCGTGTTTAGTAATCAACAAGCGATACATGACACGGGAAGCTCTATTAACTTTTGTAAACACCCGGAGCTGCTACAGATCGTTTTGCTGCGCTGCTTTTATCTTGCGTGTCAGTTTTTTTATATTTCCCTGTGGATGAACGACCAAGACGTTCTAGATGTACTTATATCGAACCGCGGAAAGCCTCAAAGCGGCCACGAATTATTTTATTATTTGATGCGATATTTTGAGTACTCGCCTCCAATTTCTATTGCTGGCACGTTCGCTGCCGCTGTTCCCCCCGTCGCCACACTGGTCGATGCCATGACTCAAAAAAAAAGAAATGTGCACACTAGGCTCGAAAACGGATTGAATACTAAAGACTTAGACACAGACAGGACATGACATACACAGAGCTGACTATCAAATATTTAATACTTCTTTCTCCACCTCCTCCTCTTCTTAGTCCCTTCGAGAATTCCACGATTGCGAGATAAGATGCACTTTTTAGAATTTTTTAAAACGAGCAAGGCATAATAGGGAGCATATATATAAAAAATAAACCATAGACGAAAAGAAAAGACTATACTACATGAACGAAAATTGAAAAACTATCCGGAAATGCCCAAGCTAACCCCATACATTTCCACTTCCAGACACTGACATCAGTATCCCGTGGATGTTTTGAGAACTTCTTCCCATGACTGTCCTCACGAGTCACTGGCCCAAAGCCGTAACACACCGTAGCTATTGTTTTTCTTTGCTGTGCATTGTGATGGACGGACGGATGGCAATCGGGGAATGCTCGAAGGGGCTAAGTAGAGGAAGAGGTGGAGGAAGAATAAGTATTAAATAGTTGATAGTCGTCTCTGTGTATGTCCTGACCTGTCTATGTGTAAGTGTTTAGTGTTCAAGGTGTTTCTTACAGACTTGTACCTACCAGCTCAACTCAAACCAGTTATTCGAAAATGGAGATCGTAACACACAAGACGTACCCTGCAGCGAATATCCAGTGCTTCAAAGTGCCCAATCAACGGAAACAACCCACCAGGGGCATTCCAAGGAGCACCTTTGCCGGCACTCTGGTATCGCGCAGGAGATTGCGATTCAGGAAAACCGATAGAACTAACTTTTCAACAATTTCCAGCCACACCCGGCGGCGGAAATAAACCTTCAACTAAGTGTTGTAGATAATAAAATCGAGCCAATGTCACCACTGCAAAATGTCAATATTAAGATAAATTCATTTACAAAATTTTACAAGCTGAAACAGCAATTATCACAAGAAAACTCGCACGCACCTTTCGAGTGTACCCCATGTTCATCGGCGGTACAGCTTTCGGTGCGCGCTCTATTCACAAAGTGTTCCGAGCACAGTCCAAAGGATGACGTTGAGGAAACGTCTTTCCTCCGGTTTATGGACGCAATCCACTGCCACCAGAGACCGGGGTCATGTGGAAACGTAGCGATGGAGCTTAAAGACATTTCAGCCGCTCTCGCCTTGCCAGATTCCTTGCTAGGTACATAAGTCCTCAGACAGTATTCAACACTTTCCGTTGTTATTCGTGCACCCTATTACCGTGCAATGATGTCCTGATGACTGGGGGACTGTCGCCATCGAAGCCCGTGGCTCTAATTAAGTTTGAGAGTTTAAAACGGAGAAGAAAGCGCGAACGAAGTTCCGGCACTGCAGACACCCAACACTGGCGAAGCCTCTCATCCGGGACTTTCACTCTTTCTACACACCCAGAGAGGGGGAAAGCGCCGCTAGCTTATTGCCCTTTTCTCTCTCGCTGTCTTTCAGTAAAACGGTCTAATACATAAGCCTGAATTGTATTCTGAGCACCACTGTCAGGATTCAAACCCGCCAAAAGCTGGATCTGTATGTCCTAGCAGTGCTAGTCGTGAGTGGGGCACGAGCATCAAATGAGTTGTCCAGCCTAACTAGCCTGTGTTTCAAATCCTCAGGTGAACGCATCCCAGGCGCCTGTGTCTCAACCAACTTATCCACAAGCACCAGCAAGTGAGGAAGGCGAGTCGGGTGCTACAATGGTAAGTTTCATTTTACTTAACATTGTACTGCAGTCTAAATGATTGGAGAAATCATTGAGGAGAAAATAGGATTCACACAGTATGTGCAAAGCACTATTTAGTACTCAACTAAAAGTTCAAGGATAGTATAAAGAGAGTGGCCATCGAGCAGACATTCTAAAATAAGCAATCTTTTGTCCCTAATAGGATCGGTTTCATAGAATCATGTAGCCTGTTGGTATACATAAGCCCCAATTGTATTCTGAGCACCACTGTCAGGATTCAAACCCGCCAGAAGGTGGATCTGTATGTCCTAGCGGTGCTAGCCGTGAGTGGAACACAAGCATCAAATGAGTTGTCGAGCCTAACTAGCCGGTGTTTCAAATCCTCAGGTGAACGCATCCCAGGCGCCTGCGTCCCAACCAACTCATCCACCAGCCCCAGCAAGTGGGGACGGCGAGTCAGGTGCTACAATGGTAAGTTTCATTTTACTTAACATTGTACTGCAGTCTAAATGATTGGAGAAATCATTGAGGAGAAAATAGGATTCACATAGTATGTGTAAAGCACTATTTAGGACTCAACTGAAAGCCTAGGGATATAATGAGAGTATCCATCGAGCAGCCATCTTAAAATAAGCAATATTTTGTGCCTAATATGCATTTTATTGCATATACTTACCAATAGACAACCTGAGATCATAGGTGTCAAACAAAGAAAAGAAGGGTGTATTAGTACAAATGGCATAACATGCCCCTGACAAGCGTAAAAAGCAAAATATAAATATCAGTGGTTGCTCAACTCGCAGCCGAGCCCGACGCTAAATGTTGTCTGGCAAGTGACCCGCGCTCCGAGTGAGGGGGGGTCGAGGCAGCTGAACCCAGATGTACGGCAGAACAGCCGGTGAAGCAGCAAATTGCACCCCTGGCGCCGACTTCGCTTATCAAGAGTGATTCGGACAAACGAGCGAAAGAGTTATGACAGCAAGCAGAAAGACCGTGCATGCAAGAAGCGCGGCTCTTTAATGCAGTGGCGTATGGATGCTTACGTCACGCGCTCCCGTGCCCTGCACACTTTTGCTGCAAACTGTACATACACGTGTTAGCTGCCAGCCAACACTTTCCACCTTAAACGTTCGGTGTTTCCAGTCTTTTCTTGGCCGACATCTGCACTGCATTCTAATATCCCATTCGTCTGGGACTCAACGCACTGCACTGCGTTCGTTTGAGACTTTTGGTTTAGTCAGGAAACGGGGTGAGCGGTCAGAGAGGACAATTTAGTTTCCTTTCAAGCTTGGGACATTTAAAAAAGGGGGTTAAATCGCCTGGTTCGTTCGGGACAAAGGGTTAGTGGATATCTCGTTCATTGAATTGTATCTTCTAACCACCCTTCGATTTTCACTAAAAATAATCTCCGAAAACAAGAAATCCTACCTATAGCAAAGTAAATATAGCCCAACAAGGCCATGCACCTGAGATCTCGCTGTGCTACTTTTTTTGTCATCATCTTTTTCTATGCTTTCTTGAAAACACTTGCATTTCTTATGCTCATCTTTGCGTGCAGACAGTGCCTTACCCTTAAATCCTCCTCAAAAAGCCGTCATGCTATATATTTTCTTCGCGTGTTTCATTTGGAAATGTAATTTTTTTTCTAGGTTGTCATTGGTTGCCATATTCTCATTCCCAGCAAGAAGTGGGAGGATTTGCCTGGCCTAATTGTGGACAGTCGTTTTACCAAAGAGGCAGCCACCTCAATCTGGGGCGCGGGCGTTTTGAAGGGGAAGAGCCCCACGGGGAGACTATCGAACAAGGCAAAGGCCCTGGGGCACACAGAGGCCTTCCCCCCTTTAACACCAGAGAAGGTGGACGCACTGCGCAGTGAGTAACATTCATGCTTATGATTTATGAGCATTTAAACAATTAATTTTCCCAGCAAGCCTATGCTAACAGTACAATACAAATTTATTTGAAGGTGTCCATAAATGGTGTATCTTGTTCTATAAAAATCTAAAATATAAACTTGCCGAAGAAAAAGAAGTGCTCTTTTCTTATGCACGGCATCCTACTGCTAACGATTGGAGTGACAGGCAACAGAAAGCAGTCACACTTCGCAATGGGTGTCTACACATTTGAACTGCAAAGCACATGAAGCATACCTGGACAAACTAGCTTTGTTGTATATAATTGGCATCCTTTTAATGTGATTCTTTCTTTTTAGGCTTCTTCATTAGCCGTCTTACAGACAATGGTATCCCTATGGAGCAGGCTGTCAAACGCGCAAAGCTAATTCGCAAGTTTCTGAGCGAGAAATGCACGGACGCGAGAAGGTAACGGGGGAGGTAAGAGAACTGCAAGATTTGCATTAGGTCTGTTTGATTTGCCGGAACGTTCTGCACCAGTTCAGTCCCAGTTCAGAGAGTGCAGGATTTGTGCAGGCATTGCCGGTGAAATCAAATGTGCCAGTTTCTACTTTGACTGAACCAGTTCCGCAAGTTCAGGCGAATCAAACAGGCCTATTATGTTCACCTCGCAGTGTTATCTGCGAGTTTAAACAATTATAACTCTTGGTACTAGGGCACTTGTACTTGTCCATGAGGATGAACAAAGTAATTTTTAACGCCACTTACCGAGAAGTCAATGTTTGGTTATACTGATATAAGGGTTAACTCCCAGGCGAGTTGGGGGTAATCATCTTGAAGGACCCCAGAGACTAGGAGACAAACGGGACAACACAACCTCGCCTTTAAGACTGTGTTGTATTGTCCCGTTTTTGTCTCCTAGCTGGTGTCTGGGGTCCTTCAAGATGAGAGGTTTGCTTATACCGTGGCGAAAAATATAATGTGTGCCACGTGAGCACTTTGCTTCGAAGCAATTCAGTACTACTAATAAAGCTGTGACAAGGTTTTGTAAGTTGTTTTCGTCCCTCTCTTGGGTGGCCAATCGGCTCGCAGTCAGTGCCAGTTTTGGCGCAAACCCTTTCTCGTTCATTATTTGATGACCTTATCATCGACTTTCCAGGGGCTGAATACTCAATACTTTTCCCCTCACCTATAATAATCTGCAGTAAAAGCTATGCTCTGCCAGGTCTGAGACGGCATGGTGTACTGCTCTGTCTGAGCCGCGAGACGTATTGCTACGACTCCTCAGAGCAAGGGCTGCACCCAGGGGGTGGGGAATTTTCGGGTTCTCACAATGGCCGGCAAACTGGCTGGTTTCTACTACTGTTGTTTTAATTAGTGTTGGTGATCAAAAAGTGACAAGTGTTTTTTTTTCTTTAAAAAAACTATTGTGATTGCTCGGAAGAAAGTAGTCGGGCTTGGACTCAAAAAGGTCTGCACATTTCGAGTGGTGATGTTTGTGCTCAGTGTGAGCTCGGACCTTTTGCAATATTTTTATAGTCAATCTTTTTCACTGTATTAATTTCATCTGTTCACCCAGGGTCACAGGTTGGGACATGTGATTTGCAAACAAGAGCGGGAGCTGTGATGTGGACACGGCCTGCCAATTAAGTAACAAAGCCTGCCAGTATTTTAGTGAAGAGTGCAATCAATATACTTAAAGGGGCACCGAAGTGGTTTTTAGAAAAATATTTTTTTGTATGTTACATTGTTTAAAAGGTGTTAATACATATATTAATTTCTAGATTACAAAACTGCCTATTTCTCTTGTGGCAATAGAACATGTGGACTGATATTTCTCTCGGACTACATGGTCTAGTTGATCAATGAAGGTCCTACAATACGTATAGATTCCAAACAATTTTATAATTACTTGTTTTGAAAAAAGTCTTATGGCACACGTTCGGATAAGACTAGGCTTTTTCATTGTGGGCGAAGGCATCGCTTGCGATTCGGTAACAAGCACCCTTCGTCGACCACTTCGCTTGTCTTGATTTTAGGAAGCACTTGGTATTTGTCAAAGACGGTGCAACTGCCGTCTCTGGAGTGCACCCCTAGGTTACCCGACACAACTGTAATATGTTATATTTGACACATCTTGTTTGACCGACTTAACAGGGGTCACAAGATAATAGAATAGACCACTCCCTGCACACAAGTTACAAATTGATTTTGTGTTTTTTTAGTGCATCCAATCTTATTTTTAACATCTGAATTGACTTTTCTGCAGAGCCGGGCTGCTCTTTTGGTGCTGAGAACACAACTTTGACACCAACAGCACCAAATAAGCCGGCTGGTCTCTGCAGAAATGTTAATTCAGATGTTACAAGTAAGATTGGATGCACTAAAAACACCAAAATCAATTCGCGGCTTGTGTCAGGAAGTGGCCTATTCCATTCCATTATCTTGCGGCGTCGTTATTTTGGTCAAACAGGAAGATGTGTCAACGATTGACTCGGAGAACACCAGTATAACATTTTAAAGTGGTGTCGGGTCACCTAGGGGTGCACTGCAGAGATTGCAGTTGCGTCCCTGTCTTCGACAAATACCAAGTGGTTTTTAAAAATAAAGACAGTGTCATGCGTGAAATAATAGAAGCTCGTGATATCGTGAAACTGGGACCAGATTGTGCTAGCGCCCCGTCGCTCGTGCTTTCTTTATAAAGAGCGGCAGTACTTGGAGCGAGGAGGGCAAACCAGTAACAATCTTGTATTGAACACGTGATATGTATTTATTTTTTTCCTTCATTTATTTGGTATTGCATGTATGCTATTTATACTGAATGCTAACATAAATCTTTAGATGAGAGTCAGTGTTGTGTCCTGTCGGTGACTATTTTCACTTTGTCCTTGTCTTTGCACTGTTTTGTTTTTAATTATATCTGTATACCAAATAGCCCAAACTTCTGTGATAATCACTTCAGTGTCCCTTTAATAGTAAGTAATTTATGTGATAAAGCAGTCATGAATATTTTAACAAAGCTTGGTTGTTATTGATTGATTGGAAATAATTTATTGATTGAGGATAATTTAGTGTTTTGTACTTTGTATGTGAACTTGTTTTTTAGTGAGATTCCAGAATGACAAACTATTTTTTTATGGTTTTTAAAGAGATAGTGCCATCGTAAAAAGTGGACAGTGTGATGTCCATTATTCTAGTAAACTCTACAGTGCTAAATAATGCTTTGCCATTGCAGCATGCATAGATCACGTTTTATGTATACTGTGACCTACAACTTAAGTACAAATGTTTGTTCTGTGTATAACATTTAAATAAAAATTTGCTTTCATCCTACGCTGAAATCGTGTCTTGGTCAATTGTTTGCATCCATCTGGGCCTGCCATGCAGCTTTTTTAAAGCTGTAAGTTTGTGAACACCTGTACTCCATTTCATACTTCGTACGCAATGCTGTCGAGGCTACTGGCACGAGCATGTGACTTTATCATGAGCTTTGTGCACGCGTTTGCACTTGATGAAGCCTCATGCGCGTGTCAGTTTCCTTGACAGTGTTGTACACTAATTATGAAACGGAGTATAGAGAATTCAATTTCTGAGGGGCTAATGGGTCTAAAGGGTTGATAGGTCTAAAGAGTTAACGGGTCTAAAGGGTTAACGGGTCTAAAGGGTTGACGGGTCTAAAGGGTTGATAGGTCTAAAGGGTTAACGGGTCTAAAGGGTTAGCGGGTCTAAAGGGTTGACGGGTCTAAAGGGTTGATGGGTCTAAAGGGTTGACGGGTCTAAAGGGTTGATGGGTTTAAAGGGTTGATGGGTCTAAAGGGTTGACGGGTCTACAGGGTTGACGGGTCTAAAGGGTTTGAAGGTCTAACAGGGTTCCATAACACATCAAGGCTGGTGGGTTATTTTCAATAGGGATTGTCGTTTTGAGACATGAATATGGTGATGTAACCTTAAGAGAGTGATACATTTCTGGTCATTATTACTGCGTTCTTTACACTCGCTCTAAACGAATCAACTGTCCCCTTATCGTTTGATCTTAGAGATTTGTGTCTTTTTTAAAGTTTTTAGAGCGCATTATGACAAAGCCTGTCCAAGTGGTGCGGCCTAAGAAGCGGCATTCTTTGCACACTCATTACCTTTGCTGCGTTGTAATGTGAACTTGATTAATGCGTGAAATTACCACGCTGACCTCATCATGCCGTAAATACTCTGCGCAACACAAATGCTCTTCGTTGTAAACTAATGACAATGCTATATGTCTATACCGCGACACTTTTAATGCGAACCGTTGAAGTCACTGAAAAGGTGAAAGCGGCAAGGAGGAGCTTCAGTCTTCCTGCCTCTCGCGCGAGTGTCATGCCTTCGACAAGGCAATGGCGTATCGTACACCTCAAGTGTGCCCTAGCAGCCAAAGCACGGCGGAAGGCATGGAGCGCGTCCTGGAGGCATGGTTTCTGAAAGACACCCCCTGCTCTTTTAATTCTCTCAGGGATTATAGTAATGTTTGTAACATGAACTCTTTTTTTAATTTCTAATCGAAACAGTAGCTTTGTGAATAGAGATCATGAGAGCACTAAAGCAAAAAATCATTGATGTCATATTTGCACTAACAGTGTCGTGCACTAGCCGTGCGACATTAGTAGTGCGAAGATGATGTCGGGGCTCTTTTCGTTTTTTTTTATTTCCAAGGAGAATGGGCGGCGCAATATTTATCCACTTCCGTTGATGTTCCCAATTAGCATTTTGCACAAGCGCGGTAGTTTAAGCAACGTCATTTTTACGGAAAAGAAGAACGATGGAAAAAACGTCGATACCTTACCGATCGAAAAGACCGTCAGGTTTTCCTGATGGACCATTCAGAGTTTCTTGATGGTCCATCAGACTTTTCTGACGGTCCATCAGAATTCCTGATGGACCATCAGCCCATTCATGACGGGCCATCTGACTTTCCTGATGGACCATTAGACTTCTTTGATGGCCAATCAGGCTTCCTGATGGACCATCAAGGAAGTCTCATAGACCATCAGCCCATTCCTGACGGACCATCCGACTGTCCTGATGGACCATCAGATGCGTTTAGATGGTCCGTCAGAAGTTCCTGACGGCGCCTAATGGTCTGTTGGACACTCTTGATCGGCCGTCAGAGGTGGTCGAATGGTCGTCAGAGGATTTAGGTTTCACTCCGGGTCCATCAAAAGCGTCTTATTTCCCGGCCGTAGGGACTTTTTTTGCGCACAATTTTTATCAAAAGTGCTTGAATAAATGTTGCTCGCTGTATTCTGACGGCGCCGTCAGACGCGTTTAATAACAATTGGTATATGGGTCGCGACAGATTTGCCAGCATGTGATGAGTCGTGGGCTCGCGAGGTGCGGACACAACTATGTCACGCGATTTGTCTTTACTCACTGAGTCCCCGAATCACCGGCAACTGTGCGTTCGTCTGCAATCACGCACCGTGGAAACCCGTACTTACG